TTCTCGTGAGTATATATGATACAGTTAAAAGTTACTTGTACACTGTAGACGTATTCACTTTAAAGTCGCATACGACCTTCGCGAGCGAGTTGAATGATCCAGGTTAATTGGAACGAAGTCTAGAAAGGGTTATAAAGTTTTGTATTTGGTAATGTGTAGGTTTGTTAAATATGATTTTTTAAATTCCTTTTATTTCAATATGTAAAAACATAACTATGCGCTTAAAAACAGAGCTGACTTGATGGGAGATAGCCACCTCAGTTTGTCTGTTGGACACGGTTTAACCTTGCTGTGTCCTCACCCTGGTTGTTGTTACCGTTGTTATAAGGGATTAAGAGCTACGGCTCATTGCATTTTTGGTTACAGTCTGTATCACTTAAGTGGACATGTGCAGGTGAACTCTGTTCAATTAGTATATGAAATGCCCCAAAATGTGAACTCCAGACAATAATAACCTGAGGGTAAATCCACGTGCGTCTGCCTTTCCCCTCGTTCACCTTCGAAATCCTTGATTATTATATCATGCCAGAGTTCTGAAATTCAGTGACAATGTTGCTGAACAGTAGAATGTGATGGACGTTTTGTGCAGAACCTGTTTGACACTATGGGTTCCAGGACCACTAACACTCTGAGCTGAAAAAGTTTGGTCCTAACCGCACCCAACATTTACAAGTTTGTAAGCTTATAGACATCATTAAGAAGTAATTAACAGTCCCATGCTGAGACCTTTCTCAAAATTCAGACCGGTGGCAGGCTGCCAACAAAGAGAAGAAAATAGCGCAACCCCGACACGAGTGTGCTCAGTCAAACAATGAACTTACGACCGGCAGAACACAACTCCAGTTGAGTATGCCGATGCTGTATCTCAGCCGTGTTGGCCTGAAAATTTAAACATGCTAATTAAATCCAAAATCGTATAATCATTTTTAATAGAAACCGTATCTTAATTTGTTCTTGCACTGCATCATATCGTGTATTTCATCTGTATATGTGTAATGTGTATATGTATCAATGACTACACTTATACCGCATATTCTGCAACAGACTATAATTAATCACCTTATTATTGTCTCTCTATTTACCATGGCTGACTGCACTAATACCCTTTTAACAGTGGACACCGATATCAGTATACATGTAGGCTTTTTGTTCAAAAAGGAATATGCAGGAAATTATATGTAACAATTAACTGTGTACTAATTACATGTTTGAATGTTATCAGTTTTACGTTCTGAGATACAGTGATGTAAGCATCTTCTAAAATCTTCTAAAAATATAATAAAATACAAAACTCTCTGCCGTAATTTTTTTGTGGAAATCATTCGATCAAGTAAAAATGACTGCGTGACAAGACGAATCAACTATTTATACCCGATAAAAGAAACTGCCGTATTTTAGGAACAGTGCTACAACAAGACATTTGAAATTTCTAACAAGCAGATACATTAGAGACAGTGACTAGACTACAGGTACGTAATCCGTATCAATCAAAGGTGTAAAAAAAATGAAAATCATATCTGTAGGAGACCTACCAAATTACCAAGTTTTATCATTACTATATTTATTACAATGCAGATACTTTAGTGATAGATTTTGTAGAGGAGAGGGCATACACACAAGTATATTGCTTCCGTGTGTGAATGCAGGTTGTACTTGGTATCTCAGTTCTCAGTTTCATACCGGTTGTATAACTGAATTTGCATATGGAACCATGCGTACAGCATGACAATTACTTGCTATTCGTCAGTTTACAACACACATAACACGGTCAAACAATTTTAGGCACCGCTTTTGCGAGTTATTTAGTACAATAATGTTTTATTAAAATCTATTTCAATTTGTTTTCACCATTTTCCCTATTGACAGTTGTTACGTGCGTCACTAGGTAATTAGTACGGATTGACCTTGTTTATTGTTTCTATACTTTGAGGATTTCTGTGGCAAGTGGCGGACGTAATTCAAACTCCCTCCGCACTGACACCGCATCAAATATATTTGTGTACCGATTACATAACTCTAATGGACAGGGTGGGTTGGTAGTTCACCGGACGACACTGTGTATATTGGGCGGCTCCTTTGATATCTCCTCCAAACATACGTTTATTGAATGACCCCATTAAACGATGATATACATCTCGATGAATATATCAAGGCACTAATTCATCTTTCATAAACATTTTTTTGTCTTTGTGCTTAATATATCCACATATCAACGAACATTTGTAAAACATGTATCCTAAAAAAAATAAACATTTTCAGGCTAGGTATTTGCCCACCGCAACACCTGCAGAACTGTTTATTCACGCGTGGTGTGGTAGATCGTAATTGACCGAGAGCAGGTATTGTAGAATCACCTGTAAATAAGGCCGACACTGTAATTAGATACAACGTACTAATGAGAATTATCATAAGAAGGCTGTTGTTTTTTCTGAACTGTTACCATTTTCATACCAAAAGTGACAATGCAGTTAAAAGTTGCTTTAGTGTCACAATATTCACTCACGTTTTCCTCAATCGCATTAAAACATAATTCCCACTGGTCAGTTCGAAACCGCATGTAATTAAATAATTATTTCGAGATTTCGTTAGAATGTAAGATATTCAGCCAAACGTTATGCAATAAAAGACGAATAGTTTTTTTCATTAAAATACGCGCACGCGTACCTGTATATTGCATACCTAGTGTCACGTAATTGCCCAGTGTGATGTATCAACGGGACATAAAACGGGAAATGAAATATAAACTAACTAAAATTTAATGTTGTGGAAAACAACTCCAATGAATTGGAGTACACGCACATGAATTCGTATGATAAACTGTCAAAACGTTTTGAGAGGTAAGGCCGGGTTCATTAAAGATTGCTACAATATGTAAAACAGGTGAAATTTGTAGAACTAAAGGAAACATCCAACCAAATGCCCTTTTTAAATAGTAATGTAATGATATAATATAAAGTATATTTCACATGATACAATATACTTTGCAAACAGTTAGTTGATGCTTGAAAGGGACTGACGAAAACATGGGCGAAATATTTTAATAACGCCGTAAAATAGTTGAATTAAGTAAAAATTAGTTAAATATTGTGTCATGATACTTGAATAAATACATTTAATGTATTTGCGAAACAAAAACATGAGTTTTAAGTTAAGGAACATGTTCTCGCCCATGGGCCTGCCCATGGGCCAAACCTTTTCTCGCCCATGGGCGAAATATTTCAATATCGCTATAAAATCGTTGAATTAAGTTAAAATGAGTTAAATTTGGTGTCATGGTACTTGAATGAATACATTAAATGTATTTGCGAAACAAAAACATGAGTTTTAAGTAAAGGAACATATTCTCGCCCATGGGCCTACCCATGGGCCTACCCATGGGCCAAACCTTTTTCTCGCCCATGGGCGAAATATTTCAATATCGCTATAAAATAGTTGAATTAAGTTAAAATGAGTTAAATTTTGTGTCATGATACTTCAATGAATACATTAAATGTATTTGCGAAACAAAAACATGAGTTTTAAGTAAAGGAACATATTCTCGCCCATGGGCCTACCCATGGGCCTACCCATGGGCCAAACCTTTTTCTCGCCCATGGGCGAAATATTTCAATATCGCTATAAAATAGTTGAATTAAGTTAAAATGAGTTAAATTTTGTGTCATGATACTTCAATGAATACATTAAATGTATTTGCGAAACAAAAACATGAGTTTTAAGTAAAGGAACATGTTCTCACCCATTGGCCTGCCCATGGGCCAAACCTTTTCTCGCCCATGGGCGAAATATTTCAATATCGCTATAAAATCGTTGAATTAAGTTAAAATGAGTTAAATTTGGTGTCATGGTACTTGAATGAATACATTAAATGTATTTGCGAAACAAAAACATGAGTTTTAAGTAAAGGAACATATTCTCGCCCATGGGCCTACCCATGGGCCTACCCATGGGCCAAACCTTTTTCTCGCCCATGGGCGAAATATTTCAATATCGCTATAAAATAGTTGAATTAAGTTAAAATGAGTTAAATTTTGTGTCATGATACTTCAATGAATACATTAAATGTATTTGCGAAACAAAAACATGAGTTTTAAGTAAAGGAACATGTTCTCACCCATTGGCCTGCCCATGGGCCAAACCTTTTCTCGCCCATGGGCGAAATATTTCAATATCGCTATAAAATCGTTGAATTAAGTTAAAATGAGTTAAATTTGGTGTCATGGTACTTGAATGAATACATTAAATGTATTTGCGAAACAAAAACATGAGTTTTAAGTAAAGGAACATATTCTCGCCCATGGGCCTGCCCATGGGCCTACCCATGGGCCTACCCATGGGCCAAACCTTTTTCTCGCCCATGGGCGAAATATTTCAATATCGCTATAAAATAGTTGAATTAAGTTAAAATGAGTTAAATTTTGTGTCATGATACTTCAATAAATACATTTAATGTATTTGCGAAACAAAATCATGAGTTTTAAGTAAAGGAACATATTCTCGCCCATGGGCCAAACCTTTTTCTCGCCCATGGGGGAAATATTTCAATATCGCTATAAAATAGTTGAATTAAGTTAAAATGAGTTAAATTTTGTGTCATGATACTTCAATGAATACATTAAATGTATTTGCGAAACAAAAACATGAGTTTTAAGTAAAGGAACATATTCTCGCCCATGGGCCTGCCCATGGGCAGGCCCATGGGCGACATAGTCTAAATATTGAGTTTTTAAACAATTTTTTTTTCATTTTTTCTTCCTTGGTATGTTCCCATGAAAACGGCATGTTTAATTTTGTAAATACCTTTAACCGAGACTGGGCAAAGAGCGTAGAGTTTCTGGACTTTTGGGTTTCCAGAATTAAAATGGGACGTGTTATATGTTTCTTTTTAAATGAATGGAGTATGTCATGCAAACGCTGGATTCGTTCACCAGGTTGTGCTGATTGGCTGATACAAATCTGAGACACTAACTGTTCTATCTGCTGATGAAGCTAGAAGGGCGTATGGGTAGACAGCGGCCGCAGATCTTCCTCCCGGAGAACAACGAATGAGAACAGAGCAGTTAACATCGCCACCAGCAGGAATCACGACGTTCTCTCTGAACCCAGCAGTGGAGCTTTCAGACAACCAGAGCCGGCGAAAGGGACGGATCCGCGCGGTTCAGGGAGAAGCGGTATTGATCAGTCGTGGTGTTGGGACCATGGCACCGGACTTGTATTTGTAACACGCACTTGGCATGATAAGGAGACACTATTCCTCGCTCGTGACAATAAGACTGGGACAAACAGAAGAGGGGACCTTGTATGACGAAGCCGGGCATACAATTATATACTACTTACAGGACAATCGCTTATAAAGTCTGAACTCTTCACACAGTCGTATGGACACGCTAGTGAAGATGCAAGAAAGTTGTGAAAAGTGAAGAAGTTTGGCTTGTTTGAAAGGTACGATCTTTCACGGACGTTAATCATTGTCATTGATGAATCTTGACAGAGTTGGTCTTCCCGGACTTTCTTGTACCAGTTCACGTGACAGTGTTAAAGCGGCGGCTGTTACAATATGATAAACACGGCATGTGTTATGGAGTAAACACCATCCTCAGGTAAGGCTGTGACAGTTCATTATAACAATGCCTCTCGGGACCCGTTTCGACAGCCAACACACTTCGTTTCAGTGTTAAGCAATCAAAAGGGAATGCTAAGAAATGTGTAGTTAGATTAATTATTCATGGCCTTTGTTGTTTACGAGAGCAGTCACATCACGCATCTTAAGTTCAGAAGATGTGCTGGTTTTATTTATGTTGACACAATGTTCTTTTAGAAACCAGATCATGAACGGTTGCAATCAGGTTTATACAGGAAAGGGCCTTTCACCTTCTAGGTCCATTGTGCTTTAGTTTGTATTATTTGACAGTTTTGGTTTATTTTCACTGCCATTTAAAGGGTACCTGTCATCTTGAATTAATTACTGCTTTGATGTTCGTCTTTATAAAGGTCAAATCGCAATCGCGTGGAACAAGACAATGGCTTCTTGTAACTTCATATAGATATGACGTCCACAGTATTACACCATTTGTTATGGAGAGAAGTAAGTTAGATAAAATGACGTTTTACAAATAATGTTTTTTGAATTATCAGAAACAGTCAGTTGGCCTATGATTGTTAGTTGATTTTTACGCGGTTTTACATGTTATTTCAGTTGGGGTGAGTGAGTAAATGGGTGTTTTTACGCAGCTTTTAGCAATATTCCGGCAATATCACGGCGGGGAACTCCGGAAAATTCGCTTCACACATTGTACCCATGTGGGGAATCGAACCCGGGTCTTCGGCGTGATTAGCCAACGCTTTAATCACTTGGCTACCCCGCCGCTTTAAGTTGGAGTGAGTGAGTTTAGTTTTAACGCAGCGTTGAACAGTTATATTACGACGTCGTGGCATGAAAACCCAAAGTGACGCAGATGGAGTTAAACTTAACCGCTTTGATGAACCTCACGATTCTGCGGTGATAAGAATTAAACTCATTGGGATTAAAGAAGTGGTAAGGATTTAACTACGAGCAAGACAACTATGTCCATAATTATGAAATATATCTATTGTATTATTCCGACTTTATCATAATTAGCATGCGTGTGTGAATCACTTTGAAATAGTGATGATACCAGGTGTTCGCGAAAAGGTGAGCGTATCCTGACACCCATCACAAACACATTCAAATGCAAGTCAATTGTTCACCTGAAGAAACAAGGGCACTCATGTTTCTTACTGATGGACGTCATCACAAACATCATGACAAAATGTGGCGAATGAATAAGACTCAGATCAGAATACATTATCTAGGGCCACATCTCTTACGTCTAATCGCTATATATACAAGCTGAACAACGGTAATAATAATCAGTTATTTTTGCAGATACTTTCACATAAGTCATTGAACGTGTGTTCACTGAATTCCCTCGGCAATCTATTATTCATAGCTCACATTCAATACAAAGATATAAAAACGATCAAATTTAGATTAATGCCGTTAGGAAATCTCATAAAAAAAGAAGAATGTTGGCGAAAACGCTGTTTTAACAGTCGAATCACGGCGGTGAGTAATTTTGTTTGGCCGCTCCAAATGGCGAAATCTGGAATCGTGAAAATGGAAAACTCAAAGTGATGTCGCTGTCAGAAGATAACCACTTTGTTGAAATCCTTGATCTACATCGTACCTATCTGCTACTCTAACCTGATGTATAGGTTTTTCTTTTTGCTTACCTTTGTGTCAGTTTTATACCCGACACAGTCCTGTTATCTGTATCAATACACACAGGTACGTCTGTATCATCAAACTGTTCTAAACAAAGTGTGTTAATCAATGGACAGCGATATCATGCAAATCGCCTTCTTAAAATATATTTGTATATATGTGTCTAATCAATTCCTTACTATATATCTAATTCGCTTTATGTCATCGGAATTTATAACTTACATGATGAAATCCATATTGGCATATGCCTTTGACATGACCGACCCTTCCATACAGCTCGCGTCACAACTTTGTTGAACATGAATTTCTATGCTCTTAAGGGGATACCACTGATGACTGGATATGTTGTGAGGACACTACAACCTGTTTAATAAAAGACATGTTAATCCGAACACCTCGATCAAAGAAAATTGTACATAAAAGCGACACTACTTTAACCATATGGAATCCCTGCTAAATGCAGAGTCGATTGTACGATTCCGAGTATATTATAAGCATGTGTTCGTGAAAAACTATGTACAAAGTGATGATACCAGTCATGATACCTGCCCCATCGGTGGCATCCGTCACAAATACATGCAAAGACAAGTCAATTTTTTCACAATTATTGAGTTGTGTGCTTCTCAAGTTCGGAAGATGTCAATCGGCGTTGTGTTTTGGTGTTTTGGTCTGAGTATTCGTAGCGTGGACATATTAATGATGGGAAGTTGTGATTTGATGAAACCTCTTACTCTTATCTCGAATTATGACTATGATGACACGTCTGACCCACGAAGGTTTCTAGAGAAACGCTCTGAATTCGAAACAATCGTTACCAACCACAACTACAGAGGCATCAATCAAAAGGGCGATGCGTTAGCCTAGTGGTTAAAGCGTTTGCTCGTTACACCATGGCCAGGATTCGATTCCCCTCGTGGCTACAATGTTTGAAGCCCAATCGTGGTGTCCCCCGCCGTGATATTGCTGGAAGATTGCTAAAAGTGGTGTAAAATCATATATATTCTCATCAACAATAGACTTCGTATGCTGTGCCAAACAGCTATACATCTATAAGTCAAAAAGTCATAATTCATTCATAAACACGACAGCAAGGCAATGTAATCTGTTTGTATTACATCCAGTAGGGGTTGATCGACACTCATTGATAAGCGCAGCGCTTTGGGTGTCTTGACTGGCCAGCTAAAGAGATTATCAAACGTCTTCCAGTCTCCCACGAGTCTTTAGATTCCTCCAGCAGAAGACAAATCAAATGACCCCATCATAAAGAGAAAAACTTCATCACAAAGTATCGTCCGGCGATATCATTTTATGACGTTGTAGTACTCATTGGCATATTAACAGAGGTTACAAAATACACATTTCAATAGCATGAAAAGGGGGCACAGTTATATAAGGTATCGGAGTTCGCTGTGCGGAGTTGCGTCCCTTGGGCATGCCAGAATCCCATGTTCATGGGTTCGAATCCTGGTTCGCCCCGATTATGTTTCTACCCATTCTCGTGGATTTCACCAAAGTGGTAAACGTCTGAGACCTGCATCACTTCGGACTTTCCCACATTAAGCTGACACGCCGCGATATAACTGGAATACTGTTAAAAGCGGTTCTAAACCCAACTTACTCATTCAGCATTCAAAATGGTCTGTGAGTGAATGGCTGCGAGTTGTGTCCCCCTTACCCTTCCAGGAATACCACGGCTTTGAACCAAGAAATGAACATAACTCATTTCAGTAACTTACGTGAAAAACCCAGCCTTGGTTTTTTTAAGTATTTTAGCCGCTAGGCTACCTACCACCCTTTCCGCCCTGCCAAACAAACCCCGCCCAACCCCGCCCAACCCCGCCCAGCCCCGCCCAGCCCTGAAATGAAATGAATTTCCATGGGGTTGGGGGGGGGGGGGGATTATGAGTGTAAATTGAAACGTTCGTTATATATATATTTATTTATTTATTTATTTGACTCATGTGATGTTTCGTCACGTTTGTATAGAATATCATGTTTGACTGGCAAAACAATCAAGTTACAGACAGATTACTGCATTCGTTTTTCAGAAGTTAATCATAGAATATGACAGGGATGAAAATTGAGAAAACTGAGAAACTAGCTGAGATTAACTTCCTGCTTACAAAGGGCATGTCACCAAAGGAAATACAGGCAGATATGAAACCACTCTTGGGGATGACTGTCCGTCATATTTAACTGTTTAGAAATGGGCTGCTAAATATAAGTGAAGCGGAAGCCACACAGGCGATTCGGTCGTCCTGACGACCCGACCCGTGAACATCCGGGGTAGAATAGGTCTTCAGCAACCATTGCTTGCCGTAAAAGGTGACTAACGGGATCGGGTGGTCAGGCTCGCTGACTTGGTTGATGCATGTCATCGATCCCAATTGCGTGGATCGATGCTCATGATATTAATCACTGGATTGTCTCGTCCAGACCGCCATTCGGCGTTTAACAACAAACCAACCAAGCAGCCAACCTGACGATCCACGTCTGAAATCCACGTGGAGGCTATCCACCTCATGGTTATGGCTGACCCATGTGTTACAACTCAATAGATTCCTGACACTATTGGGATCAGTTTTGGACCAGATCTATCCACCGGGCGCTCTCCACATTAACGGGCGCACTCCACATAAAAAAGCTGTCTGCAAGATGGGTACCCATGGGGTTTAAATGTTGACACCCGGTCGAGACTAATCTGGCATCTGACTAATCTAAACTATCCAGGCATCTTTTGACCAGTCAACAGCAGCATCTTGATAAAAGTTGCATGCGAATTGTAACCAAACATGAGACCTGGGTCCATCACTTCGAGTCAAAACTTCAAAGGATACTCACCCCTCACCAGTAGAGTGAGTGAGTGAGTTGGGTTTGACGCCGCTTTTAACAGTATTCCAGTTATGTCACGGCGTGTCAGCTTAATGTGGGAGGAAAGCCCGAAGTGATGCAGGTCTTAGATGTTTACCACTTCGGCGAAACCCACGAGCACGGTTATGGTGCTGACAAACCTAGAAACATAATCGAGGCGAACCGGGATTCGAACCCACAATCATAGATTTCTGGCTTGTCCAGTGGACGCAACTCTGCACAGCGAATCGCGGCGCCTTAGACGACTGGGCCACCCTCGCCAGTAGAAGTACAGGGGGGTGGAGTCATGGCGTCAGTTTTCTGGGGTAGTGAGGTGACATTGATGATTGTCTCTCTTCAACGAGGTCATACTATCAATGAGCAATACCATGCCAATACTGTTTCTTTTGAGAGAAGCTATCAATTAAGGCTCCGTTAGATGTGTTAAGGGAGCATTCATTTGATTTATATGTGGGGAGGGGGGTGTAAGAACAATCCATCGTT